TGTTCAATGAAGCCAAATCAAAAGATGCGTAATGATGCCAAATTGAGAAAGATACATAAAGTGTATCAAAAATTAAAATATGCACAAAGTGCGTCAAAAATTGATAAGAGGCATAAAATGAGCCCACAAAAAGTAATGCTTAATTTTTTTGTACTTCTTAAAGCTTAAGAAATCCCTTAATATTTTCGATACATGAGCTTGAAAATCATGATTCCTAATTCACCAATTTTTGCATTAATCTTCTATTAGATATGTTTTATAAAAGGAGTTTTGAAAAAATTAGTATTTCTTTTTCTAATTTGTTTCTTAATTTAGATATTGAATTAAAAAATTTTTGAGCATTTAAAAGAAGTTGAGCTTGGATTAATAATTTTTGAATTTTTAACCTTTCTAGATTATGCGTTATCAATACATTTTTTACTAAGATTAAGAATAAAATCAAGAGGTAACTTTCTCATTTCAAGAAAATTTGAATTTTCAATCTAATTCTTCTAAAAACATCTTCTTCACCAGATTAGGTATCGTTTGATATTTTATTAGTCATTTTTTACACTTTTAGTTTTCTGTACTCCACTTCTTTTTTATAATGTCAAAGAGAGAAAACATATTATTATTTTTGAATTTATTTTAGTTGTTTTTATATTTGTTTTGTTTTACTTGTTTTATATTAAAATAAAAATTAAAAAAGGAAAGTTTTATTTTTCCGTACTTTTAAATTCTTTATTCTAGTGAGGGGGAGATTAGGATAAAATGGTTTTAATTTTGCAAATTCAACTCGTAATATTTTCCATCATAAAAAAGGGGGAGATTATTACGAATCTATTTTCAGGAAATATAATTTTGATGATAGCAAACACTTATATTTCTCTACGACTGCCTTGTCTACTAACATTTTAGGTCCACAAGATCAAACTGCAATTTGAACCAACTCAAGATTGGGTAGACTAGGTCTAACTCAGTTTGTAAACTTTTCTTTTTCTTGAGTCTATTATAGATGATGTGGTTCATGATGCTAAGTAACCATGCACACTACAGGAAATTCATTGATTATCGGTGGCCTGGACCGGCGGTTGTCCAAGCACCGATATTAATGCATGGTGGCTTAACCAGTGGTCTGACTGCCAATTATTACCGGTGGCCTAACTAGTATTTATGCAAGTTTATGCCTCCAGAAATAGCGGCGGTAACGAAACCACTGGGTAAACTGCCAACCTTAAAACTTATCGGAGCTATACCGGCAGCTCAAACTGCTAGTGTTAAGTAATTTAATTACCGGTAGTTTTAGCCGCTGGAATGCCATAGATAAAAGCCCTAAAATTAACCATCCCGACCCTCCCATTTCATTCCATCTTATGCTCTCTCTCTCTCTTCGGCTGCGCTCGCCCCCTCTCCTCTGCCTGCGATCGAGATCATTTAGGCCACCGACGAGCTATCTCCTGCCGCCGATGAAGTCCCTCCGGCCTACCGAGATCATTTAGGCCTCCGGCCGCTAACTCCCGTGGGTGACACCGCCTCCGAGGTGAGCATTTGTAATTTTTTATATATTTTTTGTTATTGCAGTTGGTTTACATCAAGGAACAGGTCTAAGCCCATATCTTTTTGCTTTAGTCATGGATGTTTTCACTAGACATTTGCGAGAGGATGTACCTTATTGTATGCTTTTTGTGGATGATATTTTACTTATTGATTTTTGTTATTTGGGTTAGATTACATCAAGGATCAATCTTAAATCGATATCTGTTTGCTTTAGTCATGAATGTTCTCACTAGACATTTACGAGAGAATGTAGCTAATATTTTTTTCTTTAGTCACGAATTTTCTAAGTAGACCTTTACGAGAGGATGTACCTAGTTGTATACTTTTTGTTGATGATATTTTACATGTTGATAAGACTAGAGAGGGAGTTGAAGGTAAACTCAAATTTGAGCGATCAAGTAATTAATAAAAGTACACATTTTAGATATCTTGGATCTTTTGTTTAGAGTGATGGTGAAATAGAAGGGGATATTATCAGTACAATTCAAGTTGGAAGGTTGAAATGAAGGAATGAATCGGGCTTGTTGTGTGATAAAAAAGTCCCCCTCAAACTTTAGGGAAAATTCTATAAGTTGGTGTTGAGATCTGTAATGCTTTATGGTGTCAAATCTTAGTCAATAAAAGAGAAGCATAATACTATGTTAATTGTTGCAAAGATGAGGGTGCTTAGGTGGATGAGTGACTTCAACCATCCAAAAATGACAGCCTTCAAATGACCCGGTTAGAAAAGTAGATGTATTAGTCATGAATATTCTTACTAAACATTTGCAAGAGGATGTACCTTGGTGTATGCTTTTTATTGATGAAATTCTACATGTTGATAAGACTAGAGAGGGAGTTGAAGATAAACTCGAATTATGTAGGTCAATTTTAGAGTCTAAAGGTTTTCACTTAAGTAGATCTAAAACTGAATATATATATAGTGTAATTTTAGTAGCAATAGACCTAGTGAGGGGATTGTGACTTTGGGTGATCAAGTAATTAATAAAAGTACACGTTTTAGATATCTTGGATCTTTTGTTCAGAGTGATGGTGAAATAGAAGGGATATTATGAGCACAATTCAAGTTGGATGGTTGAAATAGAGGAATGAATCGGGCTTATTATTGTGTGATAAAAAAGTCCCACTCAAACTTTAGTAAAAATTCTATAAGATGGTGGTGAGATCTGCAATGCTTTATGGTGTTGAATCTCAACATAAGCATTATTAACTCCTTTTTTTTCAAGAACTCTCCATAACATTATACTTGGAACTTTATCATATGCTTTCTCTAAATAAATCAATATCATATGAGATGGTTGACCTACAATGCATTCAAATTCAAGTAAAGTATACTTGTTCGAAAGTATAGCACGTATACTTATTAAGGTTGACACACATGTTCTAATAAATATTTTCATAAATATGTAGGGGGATGTTTGCTTCAACGTCCAAATGACTATCCAAGAAGAGAGATATTGGATGTATAGCAGATTATTACTAGGTCGAAAAGGATTGACAGATGAATTTATACATAGAGTTAAAACTTTTATTCAAGTTGCATCTCAACTACCTTCCTTTAAGTTTGATAAAATTTTTGGATGTCCATGTTCGAAGCATAAAAATCAAGCATTCCTCAAGCCCAATGATGTGAAGCTTGATTTACATTGTAGGGGATTTCTTCAAGACTACTGGATTTGGACATCACATGGTGAGTACGAGCCACATAGAGATGCTCATGCTGGTTCATCCAGAGTTTATGAAACATTTGATGAAGATCAAATGAGTAGACCATATGAAGAACTTCTTTTTTATGTAGCAGGTCCTAATTTAAGGGCTAGTATGGAAGAGTCATCAAATGCATAAACCCAAAATATATTTGAGTTACTATATGCAACTCAAAAACCAATTTAGGATGGTTGCAGTGCCCATTCAGAATTATCCATTACAGTGAGGATGCTAAGCATTAAAATTGAGTACAATATTTCTCGTGATTGTTTCAATGACTTTATTGATCTTCTCAAGGAAACTAATCCAACGGATAATTTAAATCCATCAGACTTGTACCAAAAGAAGAAATTAGTATCCAAGTTATATCTCACTGCTACAAAAATTGATTGTTATATCAATGGATGTATGTTATACTACAAGGATGATGCAAAAGAAGTTTATTGTCGCACCTACAATGCTCCTCGTTTTAAATATGTTGAAAGATTTCTCAATGGTTTAGAAATCAAAAACGGCGAATTTATATGTACTACTAAACTATGAAGAAGTTAAGCCAATCTTAAAGTAAGTTCTTCCGTAATGTCAGTAATGAGTAATGTTTATTTAAAATATTAAAGGATTATTTGTCACCATGTATTTCGTAAGCAATTTGGCTTTAACTGATTCGAGTGATATTGAGTAAGTTGTTGCAAATGAATTCCCAACTTGGTTCAAATCATATTTGATCTCATAAATTTTAAAATTTTAATTTTAATTATATCTTATTTATTATAAAAAAATACTAATATTTGAAAATATTTTAAGAAACAAAATCCTGATAATAAATGTTTTGATAAAGATTTGCAAGCACTAGCATGGGGTCCAATATGAAAAGTAAAAACCTGGCCAATATATATAGTGAATGGCTTTAGATTTCATACCAAGTCATGGAGTGAAGGAAGAAAAACTAAAAATTATGGAGTTTGTGTTAAAGGGAACACTCATGAAGAAGATGAGCGTGATTATTACAGTACTCTGAATGACGTTCTTGACCTGTAGTACCCAGGAGAAGATGAGAACTTTGTATACTTGTTTAACTGTCAATGGTATGATACAGTACATAATAGAGGCACAAGGGTTCATCCTGCATATGATTTAGTCGATATAAAACATAGTAGAAGATACGAGAAGTTTGATCCATTTGTGTTAGCAAGTCAAGTTATTCATGTTTATTTCAGTAAATATTCTAGTGGTCATAGAGATAAATAATATTGGCTAGCTATCATAAAAATAAAAGCACGAAAAATAATTGATCAACAATATATTATAGCAACTGCACATCAAGAGGATGAGATGTCAAGTTGTAGGCCTGTTGAAATTGAGGAGATGCCAACTACAATCTCTAGTATTGAAATGCAGTTAGAAGATGTGAATAGTTCAACTAGCTCAAGCAAAGATGAGAACGAGGATGAAAGTGAAGATACCCTAGAGAGCAATAAAAATAGTTTTAATTTTGAGTAGTTTTTGTAATTTAGAATTGCAGTTTTTATAATTTAGAATTGTAGAATTTTACATTTTATAATATTTAGAATTATACTTTTTGAATTCTAAGCAATGAAAATGTTAATTATTTATTTGTATTCTGGAATTCTTTATTTTTGTAATTCATTAATTGCTTTACTAATTGCTTCTTTTATTTGTATTCTGTAATATATAGAATTATAGAATTGTATTTCTTATATATTACAATGCTTTAAAAATTGCTTTTTTTAATGTAGATGTCTTCAGGTGACGATCCTCCTTGTAGATCATTTGCCTCAAAGTTATCTAGAAAGAAGTTGAGTGTTAATCCTAACAAATCCAGACAGCCTGATAAAGGTGAGGGACAGAGATCAGTTCCACTAGTTATTCCTTCACCACCACCACCCAGGAGTCAGCAACACTCCCCGAGTGAGAAGGGTCAGGGTCAGTCAGATCCACCTACTGTTGTACCATCACCCTTGCCTGGCTACTTCCCTCCTCCATCGATGAGTGCTCACTTTCCTTCTCCAGATCAGGCACATACAGCTCCATTCTATCCATATTACCCCCCACCATCATCACAGGCAGTAGGTCCATCCACTAGTCCTCACCCTCCTTACCCCTACCCATATTATTACCCATATCCGATGCAACCAGAACATGGTGGATCATCTAGACCAGCAGAGATTGATACTGGGGATTATGCAGCTATAGCAGATAAGCGTCAATACATTGAGCCTGAGGGCGATAAGTAAGTTTAGTTTATGTTATTAAGTTGATTGTATTTTGATATATTATATATTATTGACTAAAAATTAATCTGCAGCTTCAATCCTTTAAAGCCACCTACTCACAAGAACCAGGATATTATAAATAACAAATATGATACTCCTTACTTATCATGGAAGAAGATCCCAAAGGAGATTAGGAATATGTAGTTTGGAAAATTTTAGAAATACTTATTTGGTATGAATTCAAATATTTGATTTGATTTGTATTAATCTTTTTGGTTATGCCTAAATTTTTATAGAAAGAATTTAGGTGGTTGCCTGAGCTTAGCATGAGGATCAGAACAAATTTTGAGATGAGAGGAGCGACCCATCTCAGGGACATGTTTACGGATATTAGAAAGTCCGGGTAGTGTCCAATATGGATTGGAGAGGGCGTATGGGCTGATCTAAGTAGAGCTTGGGCGACCCCTGAGTTCATAAAAATAATAGAGTAGAATAAGCAGAATAGAGCCTCTGATTGTGAGGGTTTAGGAAGCTCTCTTCATACTGGTGGATCTGTTCCTCATATGAAATATAGATGATGACTGTTAAGAGCTTTCAATTAGTTTATTAAATATATTTATATTATTATAACTATATCTTATATTTTCAAAAAGTGTACCTTGGTCGGGAGCCAACACCGTTGGAGTTGTATACGAGAACGCATCAACATCAAGTTGACCTTCAGTGGGTTGATGAAAGGCTAAGAAGGCTCATGTGATTATACTTGTTTGAAGTTTAGGAATAGAAAATTATTATAATAAAACAAACTATAATATCAATATATTTTATGAATTTGTTCTCGCAATATAATTTTGTACAAGCTCAAGAAAGTCGGCAGTCCACTGGTGAGGGATCATCTTCAGGATCGGCCTAGATTTCTGAGTATCATACATGGTCATATGTTGTTGGAGGAAGATATAGGGGGAGGTATAAGGCTTGGTTCACAAGGCTATGCTAATGAGGGCAGTTCATCCACCTCAGTATTTTATGATCCAAGTGGAGCTGAAGAAAATGTAAGCGAGAGGGTTGCAGCGCTGACTAGAGAGATTGAAGAGATGAGAAAGGTTCAAAATGAAATGCAAGAAGAACTGTAATCCTACATAAATGAAAATCAAAGGAAGAAAGAGAAAGAGACAGAGCAGCCACATGCATCTCCAGACAGCGAGGATACAACTGAGGATTAGCACTTTTTTATGTTTAATGAGCTTATGATGATTTGATTGTAAACTTATTTGGTTGAACTTATTGAACTTAGAACTTGTGAACTTAAAACTTTAGTTTGATGAACTTGGTTGAACTTGTAAATTAGAAATTTGGTTTCATTTATTATTTTGTTCGGCTTAACTTATGAATATATTTATGATAATTGCTGTGATTGATTATAGTGGTGTGTTGCCCAAAATTGTGATTATTGTTTTCTGTATATGTTTAGAGTTTAGGATGAAAATCTCTCAAATAGAGTGGAGGCTGTTAATTTTTTTCAGATGCTACAGGTTTCTGGCTGCTAACCAGTGGCTAAATCGCCGGAAACTTCGATACCGGATAGCTGATTGACATCGCTGAAAATCCTTATAACCGTCGATATTTACCAGTGGATTATCGACGGTGTCCGACGGTAGTTTGGCGACATGCCGGCGGCTAAAACCAACGGTAATTCCTTCGGTTATGACTGCCAGTTAGTAGCTGGTACATTTTCCAGTGGTCTACTGGCAGTCGAACGACGGTATTTTTACTGGCGGTCGGACAACCGGGAAGCCACCGGTAAAAACATTGGCGATAACTGGCGGTATAAACCACTGGAACAGCGTCGGTGAAAAACACCACTGGTAACAGTTTCCGGCGCCGTTTTTTCCGGCGATGTGAAAACCGTAGAAAAACCGCCAATTTTTTTCAGAACTGTCGGAAAACATGAGTAAACATCCGGCAAAAACCACCCGTATTGAGTAAATTTTCTGTAGTGGTACTCACACACTTGGGAAATTGTTTTACTGTTTTAGAGTCCTTTGGTTTTGCTCATATTGTCTAGGACGATCCATAAATCATTCTGGATGATTAGATAAAAATAGAAATCTTAATTAGGGCATCCTGGTTAAGGAAGTCGTCATTAAGTGCATCATCCTGGACAATATTCGTATCGACCGAGATGATAGTCTCAAATTAGAAAGAATCAGTTGCCAGATCTATTTAGGTAGCTTTTATTTTTGGACATCTTCCTGGACAATGTAACATAATTATGCTTAAATTAATCTTATAATTAAGGAAACTAATTAAGGTTTTATTGTGCGATCATATCATCCTGGACGATCGCAGGATCGGCCGAGACGTTCAGTTCAAAAATCTTAGTTATTCTAGACGACCAAACATTGGCCAACTTCCTTTCAGGGTGATGCTCTAATGATATTCAACTAATTAAACTAATTATACAGGATGATTTACTATCATCCTGGATGATAGAAACAAATTTCATTCTGATCGTCCCAAATCATCTTTGCTGATTGAGATGAATTTGTACTAATAGTATAGGATGATCTCTAGATCGTCTTAAACGATAATGTCAGTTTGGTGCATTTAAGAGCCTCTTTAGAGGTCTTCTATTTAAGCTTTATCAAGGCACTTTCAAAGTGTATTTGGCATCCATTAAAGCTTCATTCTTCTGGAGGAAACTTGAAGAGAGAACTTGAAAGGGAGAGAGGAAAGGGTGGAGTTTGAGAGAGGGAGAAGATTCTTGTAGGGGGTTTCATGGGAGTGTGAAAGGAGTTTCGCACGGTTGCTTCGGCAAGTTCGCACTTTAGTACCATTAGATTCAAGGGTCATATTGGGGGAAGTTTTGGGAAGAAAGATATTTATTAGGTGTCAAAGGACCCAGCTACTCCACTGCATCGGGGAAGGTGGATGTGATTTATTAAGGGCTTCTCTGCCTAGCTATGGGGGGAAAGGAGAGATACTTAGTTTAGTGCAATACTCGAAGGGTGCCTCCGAGGAGTGGACATAGTTCAAGTTGGACCGAACCATTATAAATCTGGTGTGTTCTTTTCTTTATTATTTCTGCACTTTAATTTTGTTGTGATTAACTGCTTGGGTGAAATATTTGATTGATCTTTTTATTGGGTGAAATAAAAAGATTTCTCTTTTATTTAAAGAATTTTTTCACCCTCCTCTTGGTTAGCCTCGAGACTAGTTCATAAGAGCTTAACATCCCTGACGAACTTTCACAGGTGTCTTTGCCTAGAGCGCACCCATGCGTAATTGCTTACTTTCTGCAAATTACAGCATGCCATATTTACTTTTCTATCAGTACACTAGAGAGTGGAGTGAATGATTGAGGGTCGTGTGCTTTACTTTTATTTACTTTCTTATACATATAACGGCTCACAATGCACTTTCATATATGCATTTTATTTTTTTGTTTTAAATTCCTACAAAGTAGAATGTTATTTGGTGGAAATGAATTTGTAAAGATAAATTAAAATTAAAATTTCATATATTCCATATATATATATATATATATATATATATATATAGAGAGAGAGAGAGAGAGAGAGAGAGAGAGAGAGAGAGAGTTATACAGAGTCTTATGTTGTAAAGAGTCAAAAACAACAACTTATACATTCATAGGTGGGGCTCCAAAAAGAAATATTCCTTTCAAAGGCGATATTCTTTTTGGAACTCCATAGAAAACTTGGAGCTCAAACATCATATGTAGTTATATTTGATTCTAGATATTCTTATAGGATTAGAATCCATATTTGTTGTTAGTGGGGCCTGGCCACTATTATTTTACTACACCCTGGGTTCTACTTTGTAAAATTTATATTAATAAAATCAGTTATTTTATATATATTATTGTTCATGCATCATAACTATCATATGTGTAGATTTTTATTTTTTGTAAGCATATTATACTACATTTGATTTAATATCTTTAACATCTCCTTGATTCCTAAGATAGAGCTTTCTAATTCTTGCATTTATCAGCAATTATTGTGATTAAGATTGTTAGCTAGAAGCTCACTCTAGTTAAGTGGTAAGTCCAGATTGCATATACTTCTTTCTTTGCACATTCTTTCTTTCAATCATATATAAATCATCAAATTTAAGAATTCATAACCTAGAGCGTGTGTTTTGAAATATAATTAGCCCAAATATTTCCTTAAAACATATATGTATTTTTAAATTATTTAATCTTCATTTGAATTGAGAGTATTCACTTAGGGGATCTAATTAACTATAAGAGCTTTCCCTTTTATGGATTCTATATCCCATCATAAAATAAACCCTATCTTAGATTCATTTCTAAGATAGGGGAAAAATCTTTGAACACAAATTTTGTTTTATCTATATATTAAACTTAATTTCATAATTAAAAGAAAGGTGGATATTTGATTTGGTTTTATAACAGGACAAATATCATCTATATTTAATTATGAAAATAAATTTATGATTTATTTCTCTAATTGGAATGATAAGATATCATGCTTTTCATTCTTTGGGATGAATTGTATATCCCCTATGTCTCATCTTATTAGAAAAATATATTATATTTTTCTTTCTTTCAAATTGATTGAAAGATATTATTCTACCCTTCAGGGTGGTATAATGTCTAACTATTCAGAATTAATCGAAAGATAAATATTAAAATAAAAATAAAGTAGATCTTGTGTGACATAAAGCATTTTAAATATAAAAAGTTCTCGCATCCCTCACTTTACTTGTGACTGATGAAGAAATAAAAATACCTTTTTTTTACTTCCTCCTCTTCCCGTGGGTGTAATGGGTTCAAATTTGACTTCTACAAGATAAGTTGGCTTATTGTTGGTCATTTAGTTTATGAAGTTGTCAAATCTTTTTTCTCCAAAAGCTACCTTCAAGAGTCTTAATTCCACTACTCTGGCCCTAATTCCCAAGAAATCTCATGCAAGTTCCATCTATGATTTTAGGCTAATTTTATTATAGAACACCTTCTATAAGATTATTACCAAAATCTTGGCTACTAGGCTTAAACTAATCATTCATATTATCACCCATCCTAGCCATGATAGTTTCATCCAATAGCCTATCTCCCCATATAATGTCATATAAACTTTTGTGCTCCAAGGTACTTTTAATAAATAGGCTAAGCTAAAGCATATGCATGATGAATTTGATATTAGGAAGGCATTTGATACTATATCTTGAGAATTCTTTCTATCTAGGATGGTTCAAAAAGGGTTCTCTCCTCTTTTCATTGGGTGGATAAATGCTTGCATCTGTGATATTAATTATTCTATTTGTATTGATGGAGCTCTTGAGAGATTCTTCTCTTCCTCTACTAGACTTAGGCAAGGATACCCATTGAGTCCTTACTTATTTTGTATCATTATGGATGTATTTTCATGCCTTATTAACTCTAATGTTTCATCTTAGTGCTTTGAGGGCATTTCCTTAAATAGTTTTTAACTCACTCACTAATTATATGCTGATAATATTTGGTCTTTGGCAAGGCTAATTTACCTAATTGTAACAACGACATTCTCAATACTTTTTCCAATATGTCTGGACTTCATGTTAATCTTGATAAAAGTTCCCTCATCCTCTCTCCAAACACACCTTTTTCCAATGCATTATCTGATTCTCCCAAAAATCAATCTTCCACCTTAAAACTCACATACTTGGGTATTCATATATCATCTAAGAGAGCTAGGATCTCTGATTTTTATCCTTTATTGGAGAATGTTACTAATCATTTATCTAGTTGGAAAGCTAGACTTGTCTCTTTTACAGGTAGATTACAGTTCTTAAAATACACTATTTAAAATACCATAGCATATTAGATTCATGGTTCTATTATTCTTAAGTCTATTTACAAAACCATTGGAAGCTCTATGCTAAAATTTTGTATTATGATGACATTCATGCAAAAACAAATCATCTTATTTCCTATAATAATACTTGTAAGCATAAAACTAAGGGTATAGTTGGCATACTTGTGTTTAAACCACTTAGTTTTTCCTTTAATTTCTCTTTGTTTAGCTCATTTTTACTACCTCTCCTCTTTCCAAATGGCTCTTAGTCAGATATGTATCTCTTTTGAAAACACCCTTATTTAATTCATCACTCTTCTGGAAAAGGGTTTGATCCACTTCTATCAAAGTCAAGGATAAATTTTATTTTGTGATTTATGAAAGTAGCCATATTTCACTTCTTTGGGATCATTGGTGTGGACAAATTAAATGATTGTAAAAATTATTTCAGATTTAATATTTTTAAAACAAATATACATAATTAGTGTTAATTATTCTAAGGAATAAACTAAAACTACATTATTAACTTGAGGAAAGAATGATTTATTTTAGAATTGAAACTCAGTGTAAGGAATGTGAAAATTATCTCAAAGGGTAAAATTCATATTCACCTATCATATTAAATATAAAATTAACCAAGGATTGACTTTAGTCAACGTCCAGAGATTTTTCCCCTCTCTAAGTAAACAAAGTCAATGTTTATTTTACACTCGGATTTTGGGTTCCTATCGAGGCAAGCCCCTACATCCAATTACATTTCCGAAGAAAAAACTT